AAAAGTTAAGGAACTATTGTGTTTGACATGTCCAGAAGAGAATGAATGGCAGGTTGAAATGAGGACATGTTTCCTGAGATTAGAAACTGTTGTACTGCTTCACTGTTTGAATCTTTTCATACCCATCATGAGTATTGAGAGAGATGTTTCCGTTTTATCACATTTGTACATCAATTCAAATTAACAAAAAGCAAAAGATGATGAAATGTCTCTCCAATCTACACACACAGTACAAACACACACACACACACAAACATACACAAACGTGCACAGAAAACAAGTCTCAATGAATATCACCTACTATTCCAGGTTGGATTTGTTTTCCTTTTTCTTTTTTTTTTTCTTTTTCTGTCTTTTTTGCTTCCAAGAGAATGGATAAAAATGATTGTATGAACTCGGTTGTATGATATGGTCACAGGTCCTTTCAAGAAATCAAATTAATGAAGATTCATTATTAAGGTGTATTTTAAGTAGCCTTTGAGTTTGTGTATATAAGCTGTATTCATTTCTTTAAAACTATGAAGAGTACCTTTTATGTGTTTTTTTTGTTTATAGGTTTGTGATTCAAGAAAATGACATTTTGAGCACATTTTACTGAAGGAAGTTCTTTCGTGTTTTGTGTCCTACTAAATACTGGACAGACCCTTAACCAATCACTGGCTGTTCAGAATGTGGCTTTTACAAACAATTTCAACCTTTGCCCCCTTCCCCTTCACTTTTAAATCATGTTTTTACGTACAGTAGATAACAGAGTAGCACTCCACCCGGGGCAAAGCTTTTTTTTGTTTTTTTTGGCCATGTAGCAGAAAGAGATGGTGTTTCATGAAAATGGTGGCCACATGTAGCCGGCCAGATTCACGTGAGCTACAGCAGCCCAGCTTCAAACGAGAGTTAAAATGTGAAGAATGGTGTACATACACACTGTATTAAACACAAGTGATTCTCCGTAGTCTCTGAATGGATCGATAATCTGTAGTGGCTGGGGAAAGACTAGATAGTAGTGGTCCCTCTACGCTGTCAGTGGTCAGGCAAGTGAAGGTCCCAAATGTGATGTTTGTCAACCAAGTCCTCACAAATCTCCCTGTGGTAGTAACCAATATGTGACTTTTTTGCCGGATCCAGAGCAACCTCGCACCCTGTGACTCACTTTTTACGCCAAAACGCCTTCACCGTCAACACACGTCATCGAGACCATCATTACTGTACACACGCCAATGTCTCAGGAAGGAATCATTTTTTGTGCTTGGCCTGTTCTTTGTATTTGTTCTGTGCTGCACCCCGTAACCCTTCAATCACAGACACGCACACACATACAAACACAGACACACACAGACACACACACACACACACACACACACACACACACACACACACACACACTCTCACACTTCTGCTACTGAGCCCCTGGTTTTTACTTCAATCACTCACTTTCGTTAGGCCTGGCAGACCAGGACTTGCACAGAGAGATTCTGACCACGCAACGTTACGACATAGGATGCCAGTGTGGAGTCTCTCTGAGTCGCTCATGTGTTACTTTAATTTGTACGGTCAAAGCTGCTTTCATCATTTAGGACTTAACATGTCCAGAACGGCGCACAACGTTTTCCCTCCACAGCTAATCTGGAATAGCAACAGACACACCGTCAGTTTGAGAAGTATGGAATATGTTGCAATTTTGTCAAGATTATCATGCGACTTTGAAAAAAAAACAACAAAAAAAAAGATAAAAAAAATAAATAAAATGAACATTTAATAATTATGAAATGTGTTTGTGTTGTCCATGTGTCCTCTGTCCTCTTGTCCTTCTCTGCACCAGGGGTGTCATCCAGGGTGCGTTTGTTGCACCATATTCATATTCAGGAGATGTTTGGAGACATTCACGTTTAACTTTCCTGACTCTTCCTGGAAGCCTTGGAACCACTTTCATCATGCGAACCTTTAGCATTGAATAGACTCATGACAAACACTGGAAGATCCACAGATGATGGATGAATTAGAAATAAAGCTGGAATCAAAGTTCAATGTTGTGAATTTTAAATATGAAATAAAACATTCTTTCTCCTAAAAGTTGAGCTCCTACACCATAAAACACCTACGCACAACTGAATAGTCTCAGAGCTTTGGAAACTACTGGTTTGGTTCAACCAAGTTTATGGCCAGCTAATACAAGCAATGTCATGGACCTCAGAGATTCAGTTTTCAATTTTTTTTTATCTTATGTTTTACAAATTGCCATTATCCTGAAATTGTGCTGTTCAGCAATTCAAAACTGGAATGGCATTCAGCACCAAGGGTGAAGAATCCTACTCATGCCCGTCTGGTTATTGTAGAAATATAAAACAAAAGATAATTAAAGAAAGTGAAAGAAAATCCACCACCTAATTCCTATCCATAGCAAAATGTGATGGTTTGTTTCTTCCCAGTTTTTGGGTGATATTGCCAACAAACAGTTAGTTGTGGGTGAAAACACAACCTCCATGTATAGAAGGTTTTTAACTGGGGTAGGTTGAGGTATTTAAAAAATATATTTGA